CTCCCTTTGCCCTCCCCCCCTTTTCCCTCCTCCCTTTTCCCTCCTCCCTTTTCTCTCCTCCCTTTTCCCTCCACCTTTCCCTGCTCCCTTTCCCTCCTCCCTTCCCTCCCCGTTGCTGATCCCTCCCCTCTCTCCCAGTACCCCATGTACTCCCGGGACTACGTCTACGTGCGCCGTTACTCCGTGGACAAGGAGAACAACCTGATGGTGCTGGTCTCACGGTGGGTATTCCCAGGCCAACCTCCTCCCAGCTGCAAAACCCAGTGGAATATCCATGGTATTCCATGATCCAGGGTGAAATCCTCCTGGATTATCACTTGGGATAGCTCAGGGTTCCTCCCTCCAGGGCTGTGGAGCATCCAGGTGTTCCCGAAGATCCCGAGTACGTCCGGGTGAGAACTTATGAATCCCAGATGGTCATTCGGCCCCACAAAACCTTTGATGAGGTAGGTTTGGGATTGGGGTGGGTTGGGAAAGGCTTGGGAAGAGCCCTAGAGAGCTTCCTGGTGCTCCCAGGGGAGCTGGACCTCTGGCTGGTGTCCAGAATGGCAAATCATCCAGAAAAGAGGGATGAGTGATTTTCCCAAAGGGAAGGGAAGTCCATCCACACGTGGCTCTGGAAGGATTTGAATCCCTGATTTGAAGCTCTTATCCCAGAGACTTGAGGTTCTTCCTGCAGGAGGATGGAGCCAGATCTCCTCTTTTGGAGCACCAGGTTCCTTTTTCAACAGCTTTGATCCCTAAAGCCTCATTCCTGGCACTTAATCCTCCTGGAAAATTTCTCCTGGGGTCGGCACAGGGTACCCAGAGCCTGGGAAGAACGTGCTGGGTCAGCAAGAACTGGGAATGTCACCTCCAAAAAAAACCCCAACCTGCTTCCACCACATCCTTATGGATCCATGTCACCTCCTCAAAGTTTCTCTTGGGATACGAGTGGCCCTAAAAGGGAATTTAAGGATTTTCCTGCCTCCTCAACTCACTTCCTTCTTCTCCCAGAATGGTTTTGACTACTTGCTGACCTACAGTGACAACCCTCAGACTGTTTTCCCTCGGTACTGTGTCAGCTGGATGGTCTCCAGTGGTGAGTATTCCCACCTCAGCCTGGAATTCCTCCTCCTGTGCCTGCAAAGAGACAGAGAAGCTCCAAAACTGGGAGTTCTGAAGGGTTTTTGGGGGGTATTTTTGGTGTCTTGTCTCAGCAGAGGAAGTTCTGGGTGGGAGGAGGAAAGAGGAAGGAGCCACAGGGATGTTCCTTCTCTCTGGAGAAGGGAAAAATAAAAGCAGCAGGATCCCAAGTTGTTTTTAAATGGGATTCATTTCTGCCCTTCAGAGCCAGCACTGGGAATACTGGGATACTGGGAAAGAGGAGGAGGGAGAAGAGGAGGGAAAGGGAGGAGGGAGAAGAGGGAAAGGGATGAGGGGGAAAGGGAGGAGGGAAAAGAGGAGGGAAAGGGAGGAGGGGAAAGGGAGGAGGGAAAAGAGGAGGGAAAGGGAGGAGGGGAAAGGGAGGAGGGAAAAGAGGAGGGAAAGGGAGGAGGGGAAAGGGAGGAGGGAAAAGAGGAGGGAAAGGGAGGGAGGGAAAGGAGGAGGGAAGGGGAGGAAGGAAAAGGGGGGAAAGGGAGGAGGGAAAAGGGGGGAAAGGAAGGAGGGAAAGGGAGGAAGGAAAAGAGGAGGGAAAGGGAGGAAGGAAAAGAGGAGGGAAAGGGAGGAAGGAAAAGAGGAGGGAAAGGGAGGAAGGAAAAGAGGAGGGAAAGGGAGGAAGGAAAAGAGGAGGGAAAGGGAGGAAGGAAAAGAGGAGGGAAAGGGAGGAAGGAAAAGAGGAGGGAAAGGGAGGAAGGAAAAGAGGAGGGAAAGGGAGGAAGGAAAAGAGGAGGGAAAGGGAGGAAGGAAAAGAGGAGGGAAAGGGATGAGGGAGAAGAGGAGGGAAAAGGAACAAGGGAAATGAGGGACAAGGGATCCCCAGTGCTGGCTCTGAGGTTTTCCTGCCCTCAAATCCTTCCCCCTTGGAGTGAACAAAGTAGGAAATTCCTCCTCTTGGAAGCTCTGGGAAGGATCTTGGCTTTGTCTGGGGGGGGAAAAGGGCTTTTAAGGCTCTGTTTGAGCTTAATCCAGCCCGGGGGAGGTTTTCCTGCCATATTCTCCATCACCAAAGCAGCAGCGTGGGGTGCTGGGGAGTTTCCCCTCACGTGGGTGGTGGTAGGACCTGAGAAAGGGTCAAAATGGGTGATTTGAGCCCGTCTGAGCATGAGAATGTGGGGTTTTCTGCTTGTTCCTCCCTCCCCGTCCAACCACAGAAACTTCTTCCCTTCCAGGCCCTTGAGGCTCCTCAAGGGGGGGGACACACACACCCCCCCCCTCTGTCTGCTACACTTTTATTTTGAGTCTAAAAAGGTGGGATTTGGGACTTCATGGAGCTGGTGCAGCCTCACCTGCGGTAGAAGGGGGTTGTTTTTAATTAGGGATTATCAATTAATAAGTGATGAACTCGGTCACGGGGGCAGGAGGTGCCCCAGGGTTGGGGGGAGGGTTGGTTGGGTCTGGGGGGTCCAAAATAGACCCCAAAATGGGGTTTAAAACATGGTTTTTTAAAGCAAAATAATGAGTCGCCATGAAGGTGGTTTAAAAAAAAAAGGGAATTAAAAGAAATTTGAGTTAAAAATCACTATAAAGGGAGAGGTGGGGAATTAGGGGGGGAGGAAAAATAAGGGGGGAGGAAAATTCAGGGGAGAAAAGGAAAATTAGGGGAGGAAAAATAAAGAGGGGGAGGAAAATTCAAGGGAGAAAAGAAGAATTGGGGGGGGAAAGGAGAAATTAGGAGGGAAAAGGAAGAATCAGGAGGGAAAATTTGGGGAGGGAAAAGGAAAAATGAGGGAAAAGGAAAAGAGGCAAAGGAGAAAATCAGGAGGGAAAGGAAAAATTGTGAGGGAAAAAGGACAAGGGAAAAGGAAAGAGTAGGAAGGAAAATGGGAAATTGGGGAATAAAAAAGAAGGGAAAAGGAAAAATTAGGAGGGAGGAGAAAAATAGGGGAAATTTTGGAGGGGAAAAGAAAAGAGGGAAAAGGAGAAATTGGGAGGGAAAATAAGAAGGAAAAGGAAGACTTGGGAGGGAAGAGGAAAATTGGGGGGGAAGAGAAAATGGGGGGAAAGAAGGAAAAGAAAAACTTGAGGGGGGAAGAAAAAATGGGGGAAAGAAGGAAAAGAAAACACTGGGAGAGAAAAGAAAAAATGGAGGAAAAGAAAAGAGGGAAAAGGAAAACTTGGGAAAAGAAAAAATGGGGGGGAAATGGGGAAAAAGAAGGAAAAGGAAAAATTGGGAGGAAAAAGAAAAGGGAAAAAGGAAAGAGGGAAAAGGAGAAGTAGGGAGGGAAAATAAGAGGGAAAAGGAGAAATTGGGAGGAAAAAGAAGAAGAGGGAAAAGGAAAAGAAGGAAAAGGAAAATTGGGGGAAAGAAGGAAAAGGAAAACTTGGGAGGGAAAAGAAAAAGGGGGAAAATGGGGGAAAGAAGGAAAGGGAAAAATTGGGAGGAAAAAAAAAGGGGGGAAAGGAAAGAGGGAGAAGAGAAATAGGGAAAATAAGAAGAGGGAAGAGGAAAATTGGGAGGGGAAAGAAAAAATGGGGAAAGTGGGAAAAGGAAAAATTGGGAGGAAAAAGAAAAAGAGGGAAAAGGAAAAGAAGGAAAAGGAAAAATGGGGGAAAGAAAAGAAGGAGAAGGAAAATTGGGGGAAAAGAAGGAAAAGGAAAACTTGGGAGGGAAAAAGAAAAGGAAAAGGAAAAATTGGGAGGGAGAAGAAGAACAGGGAAAAGGAAAAGAAGGAAAAGGAAAAATGGGGGGGGGGGGGGGGAAAGTGGGGGAAAAGAAGGAGAAGGAAAAATTGGGAGGGAAAAGGAAAAGAGGGAAAAACTCGGGAGGGAAAAGAGAATTTGGGAGGGAAAAGAGAATTTGGGAGGGAAAAGGAAACGCTGGGGAGCAGATCCCCAGGAAATGTGCAGCCCCTGGGGAGGGGCTGAGCCCAGAGGCTCCTCCCCGGGGGGGGGTCCTGACCCAGTTCCTGTTCCCCCCCCCCAGGGATGCCGGATTTCCTGGAGAAGCTGCACGCGGCGGCGCTGAAAGCCAAGAAGCTGGAGCTGGAGGTGAGGGACTATATGGCACCCAAAGGGCCCGAGAGCAGCGAGGGGGGGGGCAAAGCCAACGTGGCCCCCCC